AATGATATTCTGTACCGTAGATGATGAAAAGCAAAAGTTCTTTGCTGTTTTACATTGAGAAACGTTATTCTTGAATTGTTGCACTATTTGATGGTGCTGTCTTTCACAGAGTGGTGAACCCCTCCTCATCTGTACTTCTGAAAGACTCAGCCTGTCTGGGATGCTTCTTTATACCCACTCACGTTACTGACCTGTTTTTTAGCATTACACAAATTTACCAGCCTTTTGTTGCCCCGTCCCAACTTTTTTGGAACATGTTGTTGCCATCAAATTCAAAATGGGCATATATTTTTCAAAACCAAAAAAAATGATCAGTTTTAACATGTGATATGTTGTCTTCGTACTATTTTCAATGAAATATAGGGTTTAAATGATTTGCACATCATTGCATTTTGTTTTTATTTATATTTTGCACAGCGTCCCAACTTAGAAATAGATTTGTATTTTCCACCCCTGATTAGGGATTCTGGTCCTATTCAAACTCAAGGTTTGAAGTAAACAGCCAACATAAATTGCTGGGTAAATATTTCATAGCTTCTGCTTTTTAGTATAGTTTCTATGCACATGAAATCACTGTTTGTAAACAGTTTTGGAGAAAAATGCAGCTATTTCACATTACTTATGTCTGTGTGTCATATACAGAGCTGCTGACCCATTGCTGCACTTCACTGTGTGTGTGTGTGTATGTGTGTGTCTCACCTGCTGAGCGAATCATCCGGCACTAATGAATTAACACACTGATCTATTCACAGAGAGAGAGCAGGGAGACATAAGAGACTGAGAGAGAGAGAGATAATAGACTGAGAGAGAGAGAGAGTGGGAGAAATATATATAGAGTCTTCCCTTTTTAAAACACAAAGGTAAATCAGTAAATCCCTTTTGTCATTTTAAACTAATCTTTAAAATTTCATTCTATTATCTTAAAATTGGTGTAGAAAAAAATTCAAGTCTGTAGGAAAATAACCTAAAAATGTTGACCTCTGACACATTGTGGCTGCAGCACATGAATCTATCAGCATGAGGTGCGTGGTCTGACTAAGAGGGCTATAATTCTATCAGGGACTGTCCAGTTGTGACCAAACCTGGAACATGACTTGCTAAATTAATTCTTAATAAAAGTTCCCAATAATTAAATGACTGTAAGTCTAGAACTAACTATACTAAAATGTTGCTCCTTATTGCCACCGATAATTAAACTGTCTCAAAGCCTGAACTGCTGCCATGTAAACATCTCTCATCTGAAGAGAATGTGCTGGGTTCGAATCCCAACTGAGCTGCAGCTGAAAAAGTCATACATGTCAGCATCATGATGCTTCAATCCTGAAATCTTCATAAGAAACGGAAACTTAAAAATGATCAAAGAAGTGTTAACTATTATAAACATCAGGGCTTCATACCGCCTGATTGGACTTGTGGTGCTTGGACCCCGATGATTGCCGCTCACAGCCGTATTATCACTACTAACATTTCTAGTATTTCTATTATCTCTATTTCTCTCTATCTCTCTAAGTCCATTAAACTGAATGAAAGAGCGAGTGACTCTCTTAGCCACCTAAACCTCTGAGCTTCCTGTTTAAGTGGTAATTCTCTATATGATACATTACCACCTGACAACACTCTCTCTTTGTGCAGTCTACTGTCCAACATCCAAACCCACAGCAGAGGCTTGTGTTTGATCTGTATGTATGAGGCAGTTGGGAAATAACACAAACACAGAGTAATTGACCGTCTTTAACTCCACAAATGATTTGCCACTCGTAATACTTAGAAACAAAACTGAAAACACATGCTGGAAAGACGCTGCAGCTGTATGGGAGAACATTCAGCTATTGTCCTGAAATCAGTTCCAATTTACTGAATGAAATAAATGAATAAATACATGAAAATAAATAATCACTTGTTTGTTATGCTGTGTTTTGGCATTTAGTTCCACCAGTTTCAGGACATCTGATGCCAGTTAGCAGAACAAAAGTTTTATTTTAATCAGAATGATGAAAGGATGTTCCTGAGTGGAGACTGACTGAAAGAATTTTTATAAGAGACTTAATTGTCTTTGGTTATATGGGGTTTGGCTATTACAGTAGGCTAAGTTAGACAGAGTGGACTAAGTTAGTACTGTAAAGTACTGAAACGTGTGGAGCAGATTAGTACTAAAGCATGTGGAGTGGTTCAGTACTGAAGCGTGTGTGGAGAGGGTTAGTACTGAAGCATGTGGAGCGATTTAGCACTGAAGCGTGTGTGGAGCAGTTTAGGACTAAAGAGTGTGGTTTAGTGCTGAAGTGTGTGGATTAGTTTAGAGCTGAAGCATGTGAAGTGGTTTAGCGCTGAAGCGTGTGGAGTGATTTAGTACTGAAACGTGTGAAGCGGTTTAGATCTGAAGTATGTGAAGTGGTTCAACGCTGAAGCGCGTGGAGTGGTTTAGTACTGAAGTGTGTGGAGTGGTTTACTGCTGAAGCGTGTGAAGCGGTGGACTGGTTTAGAGCTGAAGAAGTATGAGAAGTGGTTTAGAGCTGAAGTATATGAAGTGGTCTAGTACTGAAGTGTGTGGAGTGATTTAGTACTGAAGCGTGTGTGGAGTGATTTAGTACTGAAGTGTGTGGACTGGTTTAGAGCTGAAGCATGTGGAGCGGTGTAGCACTGAAACGTGTGGACTGGTGTAGAGCTGAAGAAGTATGACAAGTGGTTCAGAGCTGAAGTATGTGGAGTGGTTTAGTAATGAAGTATGAGGAGTGGTTTAGTGCTGAAGCGTGTGAAGCGGTTTAGTACTGAAGCGTGTGGACTGGTTTAGAACTGAAGAAGTATGAGAAGTGGTTTAGATCTGAAGTATGTGAAGTGGTTCAACGCTGAAGCGCGTGGAGTGGTTTAGTACTGAAGTGTGTGGAGTGATTTAGTACTGAAGCGTGTGTGGAGTGATTTAGTACTGAAGAAGTATGAGAAGTGGTTTAGATCTGAAGTATGTGAAGTGGTTCAACGCTGAAGCGCGTGGAGTGGTTTAGTACTGAAGTGTGTGGAGTGATTTAGTACTGAAGCGTGTGTGGAGTGATTTAGTACTGAAGTGTGTGGACTGGTTTAGAGCTGAAGTGTGTGGACTGGTTTAGAGCTGAAGCGTGTGAAGCGGTGTAGCACTGAAACGTGTGGACTGGTGTAGAGCTGAAGAAGTATGAGAAGTAGTTCAGAGCTGAAGAAGTATGAGAAGTGGTTTAGAGCTGAAGTATATGAAGTGGTTTAGTACTGAAGTGTGTGGAGTGATTTAGTACTGAAGTGTGTGGACTGGTTTAGAGCTGAAGCGTGTGGAGCCAGTTTTGCACTGAAGTGTGAGTGGAGAGGTGAATTTTCAGTATTTATTCACTGTTACCTCTTTTTCTCTCATTGTTCTTCTTCTCTTTTTCAGTCTTTTCCTCTTTCACTTCGCATTCTTCTGTATATTCTTTCTTTCTTTCATTCTCTCATTCCATTCTGTCTTTTGCTTTTATTCTTATTTTCCTTCCCATATCTCCTCTCTCTCTCTGCCTCTGTACAGTAGGTAATGTGTGGAGTCTTTAGTGCCTCATTGTGTAAGAATTCAGTTTCTGACCTTAAACATGAGAGAGAATCAATAGGGCTGAGCGCACACACTCCTTTAGACCAGGAGAACAGCCAAGAAAAATGAGAGAACTAGAACGACAGAGAGAGAGAGAGCGAGAGAGAGAGAGATTCATTTCATTCTTGCTGTGCTGTGTGTACAGTGGAATAATATGGTGGGTGGAGGGACTACATTTGCATGTAAATGGTTTGGCCTGGGTTTGATATATGACCCATAATTTCATACGGCTGGAGAGAGAAAGTGAAGAAAGAGTGAGAGAGAGAGAGAGAGAGAGAGAGAGAGAGAGAGGCTGGTGTATTTATGGAGTACTTGCTTGTGCACATGCCTCTGCATGTGTGTGTATGTTTATCTTTTTTAGTGTGTTTATGTGAGTGTGTATGTCTTTTTTTAGTGTGTATGTTTGTGTGTGTGTGTGTGTGTGTGTGTGTGTGTGTGTATGTTTATCTTTTTTTTTAGTGTGTATGTTTGTGTGTGTGTGTGTCTGTTTCCTTTAGCCTTTGTAAGTACCTGAAGTGAGAACAAGTAAATCTGTAGTTAATAGTCTTAATAAGTCCTGATTCAAGTCCCCAGTCAGTATACCAAAGTAACAGTTCAAATCACAAGTCCGTATAGGCAAGTCATAATTGAAGTCCCAAGTCCCAGTTCACGTTCTACTTTATACAGGCAAGTCCTCATTCAAATCCCCCAAGTCAGTACAGGCAAATCCCAATTCAAGTCACAAGTCAGTACAGGCAAGTCCCCATTCCAGTCCCAAGTTAGTACAGGCAAGTCCCCATTCAAGTCTCAAGTCAGTACAGGCAAGTCTCCATTCAAGTCTCAAGTCAGTACAGGCAAGTCCCCATTCAAGTCTCAAGTCAGTACAGGCAAGTCTCCATTCAAGTCTCAAGTCAGTACAGGCAAGTCTCCATTCAAGTCTCAAGTCAGTACAGGCAAGTCTCCATTCAAGTCACAAGTCAGTACAGGCAAGTCCCCATTCAAGTCTCAAGTCAGTACAGGCAAGTCTCCATTCAAGTCTCAAGTCAGTACAGGCAAGTCCCCATTCAAGTCTCAAGTCAGTACAGGCAAGTCCCCATTCAAGTCCCAAGCCAGTACAGCCAAATCCTCATTTAAATCCCCCAATTCAGTACAAGCAAGTCCTCATTCAAGTCCCAAGCCAGTACAGGCAAATCCTCATTCAAGTCCTATGTGAGGACAAGCAAGTACCCATTCAAGTCCCAAGTAATTCAGGCACGTCTCAATTCAAGTCCTAAATCAATACAGTGTACAGTTGTAGTCCAAGTTGTACTTCAAGTCAAAGTTGATTTGCAGGCCTTTTTTGATTTTGTTGAGTCTGAAGTTATTCCCACCAACAAAACAACCTATTTGTGTTCTTATTCAGAGTTACCACAGTATTCCCCCTTCTCTCTCTGTGTTCCAGCAGCCATATGCTCCACCCTCACATCCAATGGCCCCGCCTAGTCCAGGCAGCACTAGCTGCAACCAGAGTGGAGTGGAACAGCTCAGCAAAACAAACCTGTACATCCGGGGCCTTTCACCGGCTACTACTGACCAGGACCTCATTAAACTTTGTCAACCGTGAGTACACATACACATATAGAGCCTGTCCATCCACTCATACGGTACTGAAATGAGGAGAATGTGAGTCTAGATAAAGCACAACTGTACTCATTTATACAAAACAGACATGAAGTTTTGACTATTTACACTATCATTTTAGGAGAACGTTGTAACTGATCCTACATCACTCATGCTTCAGTGTGCAGCTCTCGACAACAAGGGTCAAAGCTCCATTTGCTGAAACCACCTGCATCTGCCTTCCCCACCAGATTCAACATGCTCCCTGGCCACTTTATCAGAAACCCCTCCTTTTTAACCCCAATTTGCTCATGTACAGTTAGTAGCTCATCTGTTGATTTGCAGTTTGTATTAGCCACTAGACTTTTCATTAGTCTATTCCTTCATCAGTGGTCAGTTTCTGACCACAGAGCTGCTTTTGGCTGGATGTCTTTCTAGAGAAACAGCTGGCCTACTCATGAGCAATGTCTGACCTTCTTTAGTGTAATATATGATTTACTCTAAAGCTACATCTGGCCAATTTTAGGGCAAAATATATCTAAAGTAATATCTGTCCTACTTTACAGCCACATCTCTAGAGCAACATTTGGCATACTCTACAGTGGCATCTCTAGAGCAATGACTGGGCTTCTCTATGGTGTCATCTCTAGAGCAACATCCGGCCTACTCTACAGTGTCATCTCTAGAGCAACATCCGGCCTACTCTACAGTGTCATCTCTAGAGCAACATCTGTCCTTCTTTACTCTGACGTCTCTAGAGCAACATCTTTAGAATAACATATGGTGTACTTCAAAGCAACATCTGCCCTACTCTAGAGCAACATCTGATGTAATCTACATCAAAATCTGACATACTCTACAGTGAGGCCCCTAGATTAACATCTCCTAAATATCTTACCAACTTTAGAGAAACATCTTCCATACTCTATAGTGATATCTCTAGACTAACATCTGGCCTACTTTTCAGCAACATATCACAGAGCAACATCTGATTTACTTTAGACCACCTTCTAGGTAAATATCTGTCCTACTCTAGTGCAACATCTAATCTACTCCAAAGTAGTATCTCTAGACCAACACCTGGCCTACATTACAGCAACAAATGTAGAGCAATGTCTAACCTACTCCACAGTGGCACCTCTAGAGCAATATCTCTAAAACAACATCTGACCTACTCTAAAGAAACATCCGCCATACTCCATAGCATGTTTCTAGAGCAACATCTGAGCTACTCTTGAGCAATGTCTGATTTACGTTAGACCCCCTTCCAGAGAAACATCTGGTCTACTCTTGAGAATCTTCTGCCATAATTTATAATGTTGTCTCATCTGACCTACTCCAATATGGCAATATCTGTAAAGCAACATATGACCTACTCTAGAGAAACATCTGCCATACTCTGTAGCAGTGTCTCTAACACATCTGGCCTACTTTACAGAAAAATATTTAGAGCAACATCTGGCTCGCTCTAGAGCAACAACTAGCCACCCTACTGTGGCATCAACATCAACATTGTATTTAGAGCAACATCTCTAATGGCATCTCTGGAGCAACAGAACAGCATCTGACCTACTCTATAAAAAACATCTGGCATAATATAAAGCAATGCTGCAGAGCAAAAACTATCCTACTCTAGAATAACATCTCTAGAGCAACATCTGGCCTGCTCTGGATTTAAATATGCTGTGCTTTTTAGTGATCCACAGTTGAAAAAATGTTAAAAATGTAGATATTTGGTTCTGTTGCCAATAGGTGTTCTACAGATCAGATTGAAGGCAGGTAGAACTTTGTTGTTGTTGTTTTCTTATTTTATTCAAACTTTTCTCTCAGAAGTGCTCCTCTGTGGAGACGTATGGAGCTGGTCTCATTGCACTGCTACTTAAGGATGCTCAAAGCAGGTCCTGACCCAGTTCACCCAGGGCAGAACGGAAGCAGAAATCCCTTAGTGAGACCTGCACCTCATAAGGGGCTGCTACTACCTCACATAGTGCTGAGTCGACAACAATCTACTACACACATACTGTAGAGGTATACTGGAAGGTTTCATCATGGAGCAGCCGTTAGACTGGGCTGGATGTGCTGGCACTGTATTTCTGGATCATAAAGATGGAAGTTCAACTCAGAGTTTTAATGAGATCAGCAGTGATGAGAAGGCGTTCCAAACATATGTCTTGCTGTCCCAGTGGACACAATGGACAAGAGCAATATGTTTTTAATGAGCGCTGCAGCAGGGTTGGAGTTTTAACCCTGCACACTCCAGTTTGCACATATTACACCAGAAGACACTCACACATCCCATTAACTCCCTCCAATATCTCAAACACAGTGCTGTGAAAAAGTCTTGGACCCCAAAGCACATTGTTTAAAACCATTTATCTCAAATATACGTGTATAGTAAATTAAAATAAGGGAACATTGCTATTGACATTAAGAACAAAAAAGCAATGTGAAATATCTACAGCGTATAAATAACAGGAACAAACAGGACAAATTAGATAAAAATGAAGAAAAACACATACAGCTCTCATCTATCAGGTTGTTTGAAAGTATTTTAAATTGGCACAAAGGTAAATGTGTTTCAGCACTCAGTGGAAAGTTATTCCACACTAATGGGGCCTTGAATAAAAAAACGTTTTCTCATTAAGCTCTGTAGATGAGAATAGTACATTCAGAACCAGACATTCATTATGTCTAATACATATTTCATTTGTTCTTGACTGGAAGGAGAGATGAAATGTAGAGCGGAAGCGTTTCAGTAGAGCTTTGTAAGTAAAAAACAGTGAACAGCCCTTCCTTCATCTGTACAAAGCCAACTGTGCAATAAATCTCGGTGTGATGGGTTTTCAGACCACCAGCAATAAAACTAAGCACGTTATGGAACTTGTAAAACATCATATATAATTAGAATAAATAAAATAGACAAAAGTACAGTAAAAAAAAAAAGTTTCCTATTTTGAAAATGTAGTTCTTGTGAGCTGTGTGAAGAACAAAGCTTCAGATTTCTCCTGCACGTCTCCAGCCATCATAGATTTTTCATTTATTAAATTCAATCGGCAGCACCTGATTTAACACAATGTGGTACTGATTAGATCATTTGAAGTTTATTGATGACATTTTATCATTTAGCAATTGAAGATATTGGATTGTAACTACAGTTATTACTGGGCTTCTTGTGGGGAGGGCTGGAAATGGAAATGACTGACATACATAAAATCACTACCTTTTGTAGTAACGTTATTTGTATTGATTCCAATATTAGTGTTTTTTTGTGAACAAATGAATGCTTGCTCCCCAGATAAACAGCTTTAGGTGGCCTTTTGCACAGTACTGTACATTTCACTGTACAGGCTGTGAGGTAGGAAAGTGCTTATGTAAATGCTCTAAAAAAGGAAGATGTGTGAGCAGAAGATTTGCCAACACAAGCTCTCTTCACAATGTTCATTTAATGAATGAAATAAGTATTAAACAAGTACAAATGCGCCATTTGTCTGGTTTCCATACACACTGCATTACAAAACCATCCTAATTCAACAGCAGCCAGTCCCAAAGCATAAAGAAATGCTAACTGGAATGTTCATATTATACCTTTTCTCTTGTGCTATGCATTCAGCAACATACACATTAATAATTCTGTGAATCTTCAAAATGCATCCTTTACAGCTTAGCTTCACATCACATACTGTTTTCGTTTACAGTTCTAAACAATTGAACTGTTAACTCAGGCTATTATTGCTTATATAACATGGACAGAGTGTAGCTTTACATTGTTCTTTCTTTTAAAATGGCTGCTATGTAGCTACAGCCCCATTAACTATTAACTTTGCTAACATATGTATAGTGGTTTATAAAAAATGGACAAATTGCTTTTCAACAAATGTGCTTTAACATCAAATATAAAACTATATTGAACAAACAGTTGAACTTACTTTTAAACAGTATTTCCACCTAAAAAGGAAGTTTCGCCAACACAACCTCTCTTCGCTAGGTGCACTTAATGAATGAAGAGGAAGAGAGTTCATTGCTCCCCTTACTGCTCCTTACTCCCCCTACTGGCGATTCAGGTATTGCAGCCCAGGAAATAATGGTATTGCACTAGAACACATTCACGAAGTAAACAGCTTTAAATCGTCATTAATTTTGAACTCTCACACTTAATAGGTTAGACTGAATGAGGGAAATGAACCAGTGTAGTGGTTGTTACACACCAAATGTGATGGGAGTAAATGGCATGAAAATGTGAAATATTCAGACGTGATTTTGTTCACATTAAAAGTGGACACATTGGACGTGACATGTTTGTTCTTTTTTTTTATTTTTCCAATTTATTCGAACCATGACAACAACAAAAAAAGGGCAGAATGTTTCAAGCAAATTAAAAAAGGACTTCCTTTAGTCCCCACAGAGCAGGGAAACAGTGATGTGGTTATGCCAGTCTCCATTTCTGAAAAGTGAAACGTGAAGATCTTCATTCAGGAGCTGAAACACTGAGAGCTTCCACACATAACCGTGATGTCTGGAGCCCAGTGTGCCCAGTTTGAGATGCTTTTAAAGATGCTAATTGTTGTTGGCTCACCATGCCAACCACAGAGACAGTAGTGATGAGTCATGCGAGTTCATGTCGCTGGTGAAAGGTTCTTGAATTGTTTATCAACACTTTTACTAATAAATTATCATTTATTTTTGTGAAATATTTTAGATTAAAATGATTTTTCCAAAGATTTGTGGGGTGAAGTCTTTTCACAGTCTGAACTCCAGTAACCACAGCTGATGACATCATAATGTGCTTGAAGCTGATTGGCTGAACTGGTTTAAAATGCATCTACTGCACACTGCTCTCTCTTTTCATGTTTTACATTTTCAGTCTTTTTTCTTTTTCTTTCTTTCTTTCTTTCTTTCTTTCTTGCTTTTGATATTCATCCTTTTTTTCTTTTTCTTTCTTTTTCCTTTCTTTCTTTCTGTCCTCATTCTGTTTGAATTCTGTGACTCATTGCTTAGAACTAACTTTTGATTTAATTCTTAATGTTCAATTAGTTTTTTTTTAACTATACTAATTTAATTTCCAATTTGATTTTTAATGGAATGCTTTGCTCTCTTAAATCTGTTTTCATCATGTTTTTAATTTCTCTTCTCATGTACTTTTTTGAAACAACTCTGTGGTTTTCTGACTCTGTATTTTCTCATTTGTAAAGCATTTTGAATGACAGCAGTGTATGAAAGTTGCTATGTAAGTAAAGTTGCCTTGTAAGCACCACGTTTCCTTCAAGAAGTCCAAATTGAGTTGATAAAGGATTGTTTATAGAAGGTTTTCTATAAGTGTTTTCTAAAAGCAAAGCCATGTGTTTTTTCTCTGCTTTGGAGTGCTTATTTATTAGCTTATTTATTAATAAGTTATTGTTGTAGACTACTCCACTAGCTTCTGCAGTACAGGTGTTACTATGAGACATTCGGTGCCAATATTGTTTATGTATTGCAAAATTCATGACATTACAACAACAACTAAAAGTAAAATAGAAAGTTGTTGCTTTACACTGTATCAGCTACTTGGTGACAATGATGTACCGAAGATCACAGGCAGGAATCTTCGGATCCAACCAAAACAAACAAATAAAAAAAAAACAGTATCAGTGGAGCAGTGGTGGAGTAATTGTGGGTAGTTTAGTCATCATCCTGCTGGGGTGCTGTCAGTAATAGCTGAAGGTGAATGGAGAAGATGAAGCCCTCTGGTTTTAATGGAGATCCAGCAGAACTGAGCCATCACAGAGCATGAAGACATCAGCCCAGGCACTCCTCCTCACAGAGCAGCAAATCCAATCATCAGAAACACTACAATTATCTCCACTGAAGGAGAATCCAGCAGAACCAAACACACTTCCTCATACTCCACACACCATCCACTGACTACCACCACACACACACCCGTTAACCCATGATCAATAAGGCACACAGTACAGCGAACATTACCATGGACACGCACCATCACACATCACTCACTGGGCTGGAACCAGAGAAAGTCAATGAGATTCATTCACAACTGACTTTTAGGTTTTTGGTTCCAGTTTTTGATGGGAAGAAACTCAAAGACCTGCTTTGAAATTCACTTACTTTTTTTTGTTTGGATTTTCCCTCCAATTTAGTCATATCCACTTCCACCCACTAATTAGGACTCCCCCAATCACATGATACCACCAGCGCTGGGGACGGTGAAGGCAAACACAGGCTTCCTCCAAGACCTGTGCCACAAGCGCAACGTCATTGGACAGCTGAACTTTGCTTGAACTGCGCTGACTAGCGTCACGCTAAGTGATGGGGGGAGATGGGGGGCCATACTACCCACGGAGAGAGCGAGGACAACTGTGCTCTTTTGGACTCCCGGCCACGGACAGTTGTAGCATCACCAGAGATCGAACTCGCGATCTCCTCATGACAGAGCCAAGCTTAGACGTTGTGCCACTTGGGAGCCCACCCAAATGGATGGAATAGCTAGATATTCGTGAAAAATACCTAAATATTACAAATAAATGGATGGAAAAGTTGGTTTATTCATAAAAGAGGAAATGGATTTTTTGAATAAGTGATGATGTAGCAGAAACAAAAGTCACATTCAGTAAAATGGCTTATTAGAAATGTTTGCTGTGATGGTGTTCGCAGGGGTTCGGTGGGTAACGATGAAGTGGGACAGTGACCTCATCCCTCATTAAGTTTAACACTGGCCACTCCACTCTGCCCAGCGTCTCTGAACTGAGCGACAGTCAGATTCAGCTGACAAGTGACTGTAAAACTGCTCTTCTCAGAGATCTCAGTGAAGATTCCACTACATCCATTCTACACTCCATACATGATGTACAACATGTTATCTTCAGGAATTTGTACATTACTGCAGTTGATGGAAACAAATCCGTTCACATTTCTTTTCAAACATTCGTTTAAAATGTGCTACCTGTTTGAACTAAGCTCCTCACTCCCTTTCATTTAGCAAGCTAAAGATTCTCCACAAGAGGGTGCCATAAGCACTCAAATAGCTTTTGATGCTTCATAAAAGCAGTGTTTCATGTCAGTGACACTGGCTGTCCTTGTTAATTTGTCTTTCTAGCTTTAAATGTTCCACTTTGCTATATTGTTGTCACAATATAATTCAAACCGGCATATAGAATAAAAAAATAAGGGGTATAAAAGGACAGTAATGTATAAACATGACATACATATAAAAATGACAAAAGTATAAACAGTATAAAGGATGTAAAAGAAGAAAATGTGTAAACATATAAAAAAGATATAAAGAACAAAGAGTAAGAAAGAATAAAGGACAAAATCCAAAGGTGAAGTTTCAGATTTTTAAAATGATCACATTTGTTAGAATTATAAATATAAAGTACAATAAGTATAAGGTTTGTGAATGAACATGAAGAGTTGGCTTGACAAAGCCATTGCTATGATATCCCAGGTGGTTGCAATGGTGTTGCTAGGCCATTGCTATGGTATTTCAGGTAGTTGCTAAGATGTTGCAAGGCTGCTGCTATGCTATTCTAGGTGGGTGCTTAGGTGTTGTTAGGCTAGTGCTATGGTATTCCAGGTGGTTTGCTTAGGTCATGCTAGGCTGCTGCTATGCTATTTCAGGTGGTTGCTAAGGTGTTGCTAGGCTATTGCTTTGGTATTCCAGGTGGTTGCTTAGATGCTGTTAGCCTGTTCTAATGCTATTCCACGTAGTTGCTATGGTGCTGCTTGGCTATTGCTATGGTATTCCAGGTGGTTGCTAAGGTGTTCCAAGGCTGCTGCTATGCTGTTCTAGGTAGTTGCTAAGGTGTTGCTAGGTTATTGCTATGGTATCCAAAGTGTTTGCAAAGGTATTGCTAGGCCATTGCTACGGTATCTCAGGTGGATGCTATGGCGTTGCTAGGCTTTGCTATGGTTTTCCAGGTGTTGCTAGACCATTGCTATGGTATCCCAGGTGGTTATGAAGGTTTTAGTTTAGTAATGGGGTAGAAATTCTGTTAAAAATGAAGATTTGTGAAAAAGGATGTCTTTTTATTTAGAAGATTCTCTGGTCACAAGCTTGGGGATGATATTCATGATTGCCTCTACAGATATAGGCAACAAGATCATGACATGACAGACCATGACAGACAATATACATTTCCATAAATGGTTACAAGTACATGATTGGTCAAAATCAAAATCCCAAACATGAAATACAGAGACAGTTTGTTGTGACGGTTAAGGGTGAAGACCCTTTCTACCAAAAACTCAGAGATGGTATGAAACTTGCACCTTACTGTTAGCCTCAAGTTCATTTCCTGTTCATTCCTGGCAGTTATTCTGTGAACTGTCTGTAACCTTGTCACACACACACACACACACACACACACACACTCAGTAATAGCTGAATATATGATGAATGCAAGACATTAACTCAAACTAGTTATATTTATTTTATTGATCACTAAATAAATCAATTACCACAGTTCAGTGTAATAACTGTGCAGCGACTGAAGCCTGTGCTTTCTTTTATTTTCTCTTTTCTGCAGATATGGGAAGATTGTGTCCACCAAGGCCATCCTGGACAAGAACACTAACCAGTGTAAAGGTAATGGGCCACCTCTCTTGGTGAAGTGTGTTTCTGTCAGTAACCTTCCCGGTTTGTTGTGCATTTGGACCTACAGAGGCATTTTTTCTTTAAAGTAGAGGCTTTGCAACTCTGTATGCGTTGGCTCTATTGTCAGCAGGTTTTGATTTGATTTCTGTTGATGCCACAGTCGTCCATTTCTGGGAGTCCAAGAGTCCAAGTTTTCCTCCAAGCACGTTGAGCTCCAATGATGAATTAACAGCAGTTTGTAAGGATGTGGTGGAACTTCACATGTCTCATGCTGCCCATCACCCAAATCCAAAAAAACAAACAAAAAAGGAAAAAGAAGATATGTTTCCTGTGCGATTCTGGAGCCACTGTATTTCTGCTTTGCTTCAGTTTTTATTTTGGATGCTGTTGAAGGATTTAATGAAGAAATTGAACAATTTTTCAAAATTTGTACATAATTAAATTGTTAAGTCAGGTTTGGAGTGAAATGCTCCATTCTGAATTGTCTGAATTGTTCACAGTGGTGGTGATAGGAACCAGACGTCCACCACTAAAAGCTCCCTCACAGAAAGTTACTACATGAAATGGTTATGATAATGAGACATATGAGGAGGTTGTAGGCCTGAATGTTTTTTTCTAAATCCACTCATGGTGGAGGGATACATGCAGGGCGTTGTGAGAAAAGAGTTATTATTATTTCAGATTTTCCACTATTTTCCATCAACATTCCATATAAACTCAGAAGACTCGTGTAGGTTCACTGGTGGTTCTGGATAGTAAATAAAATGTCTATATTTGTGTTGTAGTCATGGCGACCCCTGGTTTCTATCACCACCACTGTACAGACATCTGAACCATCTCACACCAAACCACTCTGAATCACTCTGTTTACATCTCAAACGCTCAATTATGGAGAAAATCTTTGAAATTGGTGGAATTTCTCTTTAAAGTGAGAAGTTATCATTAGAGCTAGCTCAGGGGTGAACATGCACACCAATTAAGCAACACCGAAACTCCATCTGCACTTTTAATTGCTTTCCCTGACTCTTCAGGCATTCTTAGGTGGAGAGCCAGAATGAACACTTCACACTAAGCTGAGTCAGGGTGGTTAGGTGGTCTAATGAGGACCGAGTTCTGCGAAAAAAAGATAATTGCTGGTTTCTACATGCAGGTTAGTGAGTGTGTGTTGTTGAGACGATTAATGGTGTACGACCAGTGAACTGCCGCTACAGCAGCAGCCTGTGTCACTATAACATTTCAACACTGGCCTGCTTAAATAAGAGACAAACACAAGAAATAAGGACAGATGTAATTTATGTAAGTGGTCATCAACCTTGTTCCTGGAGATCTACAACCCCACGGACTTCAGTTCCAACCCTAATTCACCCCACCTGACCTCTTTATTACTGCCCTCAGAAGTCCTAGATAATCTGTTGTGTTAGATTTTGGTTGGGGGTGAAACCTGCAGGGACGTAGATCTCCAGAAGGAGGGTTGGTGTCCACTGCTTTATGTGGATGACTCATGTAGATATTTCACATTTAGTTAAATATTTAATTAATTTCCTCAGCTTAGAATCATAAGGTTCTGTCTGTGTTCAGTGCAGTTTTGTGATTACTGAAAATGACAGATTTCACTTTCAAAATAGCAAAACTCTTATGTCTACATTCTTGAAAAAGATGGTTCTTCAAGGGTTCTTAAGCAATGACACTGGTGATATATAGAACCACAAACATTCAAAGAACCCTTTGGATGCTTACATGGTTCTTTGCAAGGTGATATGGTTCTACATGGCACCAAAAAGGGTTCTCGTATTGTTGCAATGTCAAGCTTGTAACAACAGAAGAAGCCATTTTGGTACTATAGAGATCCATTTTCAAAATGGTTCTATGTAGAACTATATACAATGGATTCTCCATCAATCTGAAAAACAATGTCACCATGCAAAGAACCATTTAAGCACGCAAAGGGTTCTCTGAGTGTTCATGGTTCAGTCACGCTTTATTTGGATGGTCCCCTATAGATGCTCTACAGACACTTAATTCATTAACCAACTTTCCGTTGATGTTCAGTTGATTATCAACATTGTGGTTAGGGTTAAGTTTAGGAGTAGATGTAAGTTTAGCCTTGAGGTTAAGGTTAGGTTTAGGTTTAGGGTTAGATTTAATAAACTTTTTCACACTGAACTTGTAGCTCAGTTACAACCAGTAGATATTTAGTTGAATGTTACTTATAAACAGACTGAGCATCTACAAACCATTTACAGTGGATCCTCCAGATAACACTCAACTTAAAGTTCAGTTGCATTTAACAGATGTTTAGTTGAATTTTAAAGATATACTGAGCATCTACAGTGTGCCATCCAAATAAAGTGTGACCCATGGTTCTATATAGAGCCACTGTCTTTACTCAAGAACGCTTGAAGAACCATCTTTTTAAGAGTGACTCATTGCCTTGACATACTTTTGACTGCTGAGCGTAAAAATTGTAGAATATTGTAGTAGTAATCTTATCAAATAAACTAATAAAATGTTCAAAATGTACTTCTATGGCATTATTTTAGCTAGCTAATAGCTGCTTTGAAGATTAGGCAATTTAGCTAATTAAGCTGGATATTAGTTAGCTAGCTGGCTGACTACCATTATCTAGATAATGAAGGTAAGTTTAATAAACTTTAGTTGTTTTATTCTCAAGCAGCTAATAACCTCTAATGATGAATATATATTATGTGATCAGTGACTGATCTCTCTGATGAATTCAGCTGCAGGTTAGTTCTCTGTTTTGCAGAAATGATGATTTAAATAGCTACAAGCCTGACTAGTAAATATTAGCAATTGTTAACTAAATAACTGCTTCTTATCTGAAAAAAATCCATATTTTGAATTAGTTGGTCAGTTGGCAGTGTTACTACCTGCTCAGCTTACCTTCTGCTGCTACGAATTCTTACTTAATCATTTAAAAAGTGTAAAGGCTCATTAAATAGGTTTCATAGCCAAGCATAAGCCTATTGCTTAGGTACGTGGGTAAAACATGGATTTTGATTGGTTATCCTACATTCATCAGCTGCGCTGATTGGCTGCTACAGTGTGGCATTTCAAGAAGAAATATAGACTCTGTGATGACTGTTTTAAAAATCACAAGGTAGCTTTATAAAATGTTTAAGAAAGTACTTGTACATGTGTACAGTCAAACAGTTTGTATGGTCATTTTTAAACATGTTCCAAGAGTTTTAAAGGCATTAATTTCACACAAAGTCAAAGCTGAGTTTTGCTTACGAATAGTGATGATTTACACATTTTAACATTTTTGCTCCCACCATTTAAAAATTACTGAAAATTGAAATCATGTACGCAAAAATGAAATCAGATTTACTGCTCACGAGACTCTGAGCAGTGAATTCTGTTCCACATTATTCTTCTTAGTTAATGTTAATAATAATCCCCTTCAGCACGTTAGCGAAAGTGAGATTTATAGCAATGCTGAATGTTCAGGCTTCCTTGATTTTTTTTAAAAATAAAAAAAAGCATAAAACACAGATTCTTGTTCTGCTCACTTACTATTTGAAATGCAGTTAACTCAAAATTTTAAAGCAGCCTGAACACTAACTTTTTTAAGTTCACAGTATAATTTTAAACAACAACAATAGATCTCATTTCCAGATCAGTTTGCTGTTGTGGAATCAGCTGTTATGTAGAATCAGGCTAAATTCCTCATTTAAATCCTTGGGAGAACGCTGCACATCTTAGTTATAACAGTAAAAACAAAATACTTTTAAATTTTACTAAATTTTCTGTAGATATTTGAAAAGACAGTGAATTGTGAGAAAGTTGGATCTTCAGATTTCTCTGCTGCAGTCCCAACTGCTTCCCAAAATGAAAAACTCTTCAAAGCTACAAGAATCCTGAGATATTTATCATTCAAAACAGTGAATTTCATCAAAGAGAAATGGGTTTGTGTGTCTGTGGTTCAGGTATAATCCATCTGATAGTCACTCTAGTCTTATAATGTACCTGTAATCTGATTACTGTCGTTTTTCTGTAACTGTAGTGGAATACAGTTACATTTTTTGGTATCCTGGTATTGTAACAGCGTTACATGTACTCTGTTACTACCCAGCCCTTGACATTATAAGTATAACTGATTACAGATTCTGCTTGATTTACTAAAGTTTGAGCGGCCAGTTTTGTGCCATATTACTTCTGCATTCTAAAACCAGGCGTAAATGTGTGTTAGAGTCTCAAAAGACATGTAGAGAGACTGACTTTAACAACAGCAGCAGATACAGGGTTTAGACAGAGCATGAGCCTCAAACATGGGCCGAAAGAGTGTTCGCCACCACAAGAACACTGCTTAAACTCTCAGGACCAGATGCAGCGCAAAATGTGTATGTACACCCGGTGATATAAAATAACGGCCCTGTGGAACAGAACTTTCCTTATTAACATCGAATACTCCTCACGACTGAACATTTTGCTTGTTGATGGCCTTTTAAACCCTATGATTCACTGGTGAACAGTTAATGGGTGGAGCTAAACAGTTTGCTGCAGTCTTAGTAAATCAAATGTTGATTTCAGACACATTATGAGCGCATATTGAAGTCGCACCTACACATTAATTCGTTTATTTTTTGGTTTGTCTGGTTTGGTTTCTGCTGTGTTACCAAAGTGATCGATCCTGAGGATCCTCTCTCTCTCTCTCTCTCTCTCTCTCTGTCTCTCTCTCTCTGTCTCTCTTCAGAGTTTATTCACCACTGCTCACTGCAATTTCTTTGAATATTCCAGTGATACTGGAGGTTTAACCGCAGTTCAGTGAGTTATTGACATTTGGTTTCATGGCACATAAGTATGAAATCTGGCCTGGTAGATAAAGTTTCCACCTTTTTCCAAAGTTTTTTCCCTCCGTTTTAGTCAGAAATTGAAATTAATGAAGAAGAAAGTCAGTGAAAAAACAGGAGTTTCCAAAAAAAAGGAGTCTAAAAAATGATCATCTGTCCAGTATGAGTTCCACCCATATG